TTCAGACTTGCGGCATCTCAGCTTGTTACACCCGAAGCAATGCCCCTTAAAGGCTGTAATTGCTGCGTTCGGTGAATTAGCAACGTCTACATTCGCACGCTCGAACGGTCCCCGAGTGCAATTTCCATTTTAGGAACCTGCCCTTCGTTTGAAGGACCGATCCAAATGCTCTGCAACCTTCAGGGCCTCAAGTATATTAGTAAAGTCTCTAACTTGAATTTCTCGTCATAACTCGGGGCGAAGTCCACCGATGCATTTGTCAAAATTTTCTTCTAGGTGCGTGTAGCCGAATTGATCACATAGTCCTTGGAAGCTGCTAGTATAGTCATAAACCGATCCGAGTTGGCGCCAAGTGCAAAGACCGTCGCGCGCTTGGCTGGTAGCGTTGAATGTTGAAAACAACGACGAATTCCCGCGCACCACGATTGCTACGTGCTGTACTCGTCTACCTCACAATAACTTCATCACTAGTTATTGGTCGTGCGAAAATGGCCGATCATGTGTGGCGTCGTATCAGTCTACTCGTACGAGTGTATAATTTCCTGCCACCAATCCATTGCCGATCCTTGTAAAAGAAATACGACGTACTGAATATTCTGCACATGTTCGACGACGAGGTTATGGTCGAACGTGGGCGACTTCAGAGTCTTGATTATACCGGCTGCCATGATGATGCTGTAAGTATTTTGGCCAGCACGCAAGGTACTGTATTCTAGCCAATTTCGTTGACATTCGCCTCTTCGCCACCTTCCGCTCGTCCAATCGTGGGGTTCGCATTGCTCATCGAGCCCTCATGTGAAGCTACATGCGGCCGCTGGTTGTCGCTGAAGGCTTCGGAACGCTGCTTTGTTACTGGCTCTTGTTCCTGATTTGTCGTAAGCATTGTCGTGAGGCGCCGCAAGTCGTTTACATTGGCGGAATAAATTGTCCACATGTTCAGCCTTTTTTGGCATTTTGATGAGTGCAGTGGCGTAAACAATAAGCCTTAATGTATGGTGTGCATACACGCTGAGAAGATCAGTTAGAGCACTCACTAGATTTGCAAACACCAAAGTAGTACCACACATGGTCCTTGAACACCTAAGCATAGAATAGGATAACATCCTGACAATTTGTACCGAAGACAGGTAGCATACTAGATTCTAGGAAAACTAGTACCTAGTCCAGCGTCCCTTTGCCCGAATCACTGCCTTGATCCCCCTCGGCAGGCTGTTGATCAGGTTTGCACACACCTCCGCCGGTATCTTGTCCCATTCCTCCTGCACCCTCTCCCACAGCTCCAGCATTCCACTTGGCGGCTTTTCGTACTTCCCCAGCTGCCTTTTCAAGTGTGCCCACAGGTGCTCAATCGGGTTAAGGTCCGGGGAGCACGACGGCCATTCCAGCACCGCGTACTCCTGCTCCCCAAGCCAATCTTGGACCAGACGAGACCTGTGCTTGGGATCATTGTCGTGCTGGAAAATGACCTCTGAGGGGGAAAGCTTGAAAAAATCGATGGTCTGTTTGAGCTCATCTTGCAAGATGCTGCGATACAGCGGCCCATCCATCCTGCCATCTATCTTGCACATGAACCCCGCCCCCTCATACGTCATGCAACCCCACACCATCACAGAACCGCCCCCATGCTTAACTGTCTGTTGGACTTGATGGCTCCGAAGGCTGGTGCCCTCGCGAATCCAGGCGTACGCACGTCCGTCGGAGCAGTAGCGGTTTATCTTTGTCTCGTCATACCAAATCACCCGCTTCCAGTCCTCCAGCGTCCAGTCAGCATGCGATCGCGCGAATTCGAGATGATCTCGGATGTTTTTCGGTGAGAGCCTGGGTTTCTTGGGCTGATGCACGGCGATCAGCCCCGCAGATCGTAATGCGTTCCTGACCGTCTTCGAGTCTACGGCGAGATCGTGCTTCTCCAACAACATATTTGCCGCGTCTACAATCGCGCGTATTATTCCGCGCTGGAGACGGGTAGTGATTAAGCGGGGGCGGCCGGCCGAAGGCATCGTAGGTCGCACCTCCTCGAGACTAGTCTCGGCAGCCATTTCAAACCGTAATCGTGCACGGTGCTCTTGTCTATGCCAAGAACTTTGCCTATTTTCCTAGTCGAATGCCCCGCACGCAACATGCTTATGATTCGCGCGCGCTTCCGCTCATTTAACGGCTTCATGGTGATGCGGTCGTAGGCTCGCTTCCGGACTAACTCCTAAGCCAGCAACTGTTGCGCGTGACGATGTACACACCGAGTGACGGGGGAAAATAGATCTACTCTTCCGCTCGGTAGGAAATGTCCGCATCGATAGTCGAGGAGTAAATTTCAACCACACTTTCCGGTTGTGTCACAATCGCGCCAAGCAAGAAACGGTTGAAGCAGAACTCGAAAACCTTGTAACGGAATGGCAAAAAACGGGTGTTACTATTTTCGAAACATGTGTGGCATAGCGATACGTTTCAAACTGTTAAACATCCGGGCAATTTATTCCGCCACTGTATGTCCCCTCAGAGTGCACATGTTTTAGATTCGGCTTGTGCTTATTCAGCCCTCACACCCACTAGTTCCTGTTGAAAAAACCGTTGATCAGGCGCTCCTCATCCAGTGCTACCGCCCTTGCTTCAGGAGTACTGGGCATTGGTAGACCGCCCTTCATGATAGTTGTTTATTTAGGCGGCGTCGGTGCCCTGATACTTCGAACTAAGTCGTGTCTGCAAACATTTTATAAAATAAAATACCAAGACATTGGATATGTAATAAGCGCAGGGTGTCAGCCTCCCTAAACAATGCAATGGGGCAACATCTAACTACCGAGGAATTTAAAAGAACTAGGCCTAGAGCACACGGTCGAGGCTAGGCGGTGTTGAGACCAGTGCTTCAGATTGGATTTTGAGGGGCTGTTGGCTCAGGGTGCCCCCAGAGGGAGCCCCCGTTTTCCAGGGTCGGGTTTTGGAAGTTGCAATTTTTTCAGGGTAAATTTTTTTGAAGGCTGAAAAATCAGGACATAATATTTTCAGAGCTGAGATGATAGGTTGAACCTTGGGCGATTTTTAAGGGTGGGTAGGATTTTAACCTGGCACATTATGCTAGACATGACGTTTTTTTTTACCAAACAAAAAAAAGCTTGACTCATCAGGTACATTTTTTAGGTTTCTGGTTCTTAGATTAGATCGGAATTCACTGTGTACAAATTCTCACACTGCCAGCGTGATTTTGGCCAAGGACCAGTCACGCCTTTCACACCTCCTCCAACTTGCGTCAGACTGCCTGCGTGATTTTGGCGAAGGACCAATCACGCCCCTCACATCTGCTCCAACTCGCGCTACATGCATGATTTTGCATAAGGTCTAGTCACGGCCCTCACACCTGCTCCAGCTCGCGTCAAACTGCCTGCGTGATTTTGGCAAAGGACCAATCACGCCCCTCACATGTGCTTCAGCTTACGTCACCTGCGTATTTTTTGCGAAGGACAAGTCACGCCCCTCACAGCTGCTCTAGTTCGCCTCGACCAGTCAGATAGGATTCTGTTTCGGGCTGGAAATCCGTTAAGGCTGATAATCCAGGGTGACCAAAACAAGAACATACAATATTTCAGGCCTGCTCAAATAACAACCCCTAAAATCCAGGCCTAGGAAAAATCAAAAGCTGGAAAACCGGGAGACCCTAAAAAAACACCCTGATTTACAGCATTTCAAGGCATTTTGTCATGGATTCTGAAGCCCTGGTTGAGATGCGTGGTTGTAAACTGATACGAGACGCACATGTTCAGGCATAAAACTATAAGGCAGGCGAAATGCAGGGGGCTCGTTAGAGGGCCACATTTGGATACCGCGATTTGAATATTGTGGTAGACTGCGTGGCAACCCTGTTGTATCTGTGTACGCCTTACTATCTAAAACCCGGGATAAGAAAATACAATTTCCTTACACGTGAAGAATGATTGCGTAGGGCTAACAGGGCGTGTTCAGGAGGAGATATTGGTCCACAGAATGTAAAGAATAATTGCATAGAGCATAGCAGGGTGATTTTCCGGAGGAGAAACGTATGTACAGAACTGTAATGGCTAGGAACACGCCCGAGGTTGACATCATAGATTCCAACATGGCAACTGGCCAACCTGGATTAGCGGTGGTCAACAAAACCGCGGAAATCACTGCAGCACCAAGCGTGGATTCGGTTCTGTTTCGATTCACTCCAGTACAGTTTCCCAGCCGCTGTTGCACCAACTCCGCGCAACCAGGCTTCCTCTCCTGCGCTGACGGCACCACCTCCCCTCTTGCCCTTTTGTTCGCGAAACTGGGCTCAATGAGTCCACAGCAGGCGCGAGACTGTTTTCCATGACACTCTTTTGGACGTCGCCAGAGTTTGTGCTACTGCGTCGCACAGATTCTGACGCCTGAATTCATCGCACACCTGGAAGGGGAAACATGGTTACCAGTCAGCTCAGTTCTCAATGTTTCGCCAGCGAGCCAATCATCAACAGCGTGCCCCCTCCCTCCAACCTCATCCGCCAAATGATGGCTACAGCGCACATCACCATGCAGCACAAGCAGCATTTTCAGTCCCCAACAGGTGCTCTCCGTATCTGGTGGAGGCTTGGTTAGGGCGTGGTGCTTTGAGTTTTTGGTCGTTTGGCAATTTTCTAACTAGCGAATGGTTACCTTTTGCGCGAAGGGTAATCGCCTGTTTTCGCGAGGGTGTCAAAGCACTACCTCAAAATTCGAAACAAAATTAGCGCATAGGCGGATTTGCCATGCTGACGTACTCCGTTTTCGTCACCCTCCTGGTAGTTCGAATGTTGTGTTCGATATTACGTCCCTTCCAGAAATTCGTGAAATTCGAACTTAAAGTACGAGAAAGCGCCATAAAAACTCAAAGCACCACGCCCTCAGTTCACTACAGTGCTGTAAGTGCGCACTGCGCATAGGATAACATTCCACACTCACGTGAGAGTAGATGGTGTGTGAATGATTTGATGCTGCACCAGGCTTCTTCTTGGTCTTCTTCAGTGCTGCTGCTTCCAGTTTCTCTCTTCATCCTTCGAGAGTTTCGAGGGGTTTCTTTGCCCATTGAGGTGGTATCTGTTTTCCTTTCAATGCGACGACCAGTTTCCCTTTCCCCTCGCGTTTCGTGTCTTCCCTGTTGTGGAAAACCAGCTCTTCGCGGGATTCTGAAACGATAGGTAGACCCTAAACTGCCTTCACCACCTAACTAGCCTAACTTGACAGCCGGCTTTGGCACTGGAAGACGCTCCTTCCCTGATTCTCCCGCCCTGATTCTCCCGCCCTGATTCTCCCGCCCTGATTCTCCCGCCCTGATTCTCCCGCCCTGATTCTCCCGCCCTGATTCTCCCGCCCTGATTCTCCCGCCCTGATTCTCCCGCCCTGATTCTCCCGCCCTGATTCTCCGGCGATCGCTTTCCGATTCCTGCACATCAGCCAGTGCGTTTTGCTTACCTCCTCGCGTTCAACGTGCCTCGCTGAACTTGCCTGGCACGTCTGACAGCTCCCGTCATCTGTTTCTATCGCTGCCACGCCTCTCCCCGCAAGCTCGTCGTTTGGAGATCCCTAGGGCAGATGAGGGGGGGGTTTGAGGACGCGGACGCGCAGGGCGGTCGCCGATGGGGGGTTGGTAGCAGCAGCGGCAGCAGCAGCACCGCGGACGGAACAGGAATGGACGGCGGCACCACGGGATACGAAAGAGGCTTCGGCGGTGGCTTTGGTGCCGTTGGTGGCGGCGGCGGCGGTGGCGGGTTGAGGTCGCACCGTTCCGTGTCGTTAGATCCCAGGCAAGCGATTCCCGAGGATTGGATAGACAGGAGCGGGGATATCGGCGATAGCTTCGGCGATTGGGGAGGGTACGGCGGAGGGGGAGGGGGAGCGGGACCGGGGGGAGGAGGAGGAGGAGGCGGGGGAGCTTCCGGCGCGAGGGCGGGGGGAAAGCGGGATTCGTGGACCGCGTGTCCGTATGCTCCCGGGGATGTGATTCTAGTGAAGTGTTCCAAGACGAGGTGGTGCTATGGCGAGGTGCTGAAGGTGACGGAGGACGGCGTGCGGCTGTGGGTGGACGCCGTTCGCAGCCGCATCGACGTGCCGCTCTCGCTCGTCTCCTCGCACCTCTCCTCAGACCTCTCCGCAGTTCCGGGCGACGCGAGAGACGGCAGAGATGGCAGAGACGCGAGGGACGCGAGGGACGGCAGCAGGGATGGTAGAGACGCGGAGACGTACTCGTCCGGGTTTTCGGGCAGCAGGGATGGCAGTGCGATGGGAGACGATGGGGCGCCGTCGGCGGGCGTGGCAGGGCGACACGGTCACGGGGGTGCTGGCAAAAGGGGCTCCGCGCACCATGCGAGCAGGTGCGTGTGTGCGTGTGCTCCTGAAAACGCACCATGCGAACAGATGCGTATCTCGCATCCCGTAGAACGTATCTCGCGTGCCGCTCCATCCTCCGTATGGCGCGCTCTTTCTCTCCTGCCCTACAGCCCTCCCTCCCCCTCCCCTCCCCCTCTCCTCTTTCCCCTCCCCCTCTCCTCTTTCCCCTCCCCCTCTCCTCTTTCCCCTCCCCCCTCTTTCTCTCGCCTCTCTTACCGACCGTTTCTTTTCCGAAACCTTCACATCCGCCAGGACCGCGCAAAGCGGACGCGCAGGCGCAGGCGCAGCGGGAAACGGGGGAGGCGCAGGCGCGGCGGCGATGGGGACGTGCTCGACGTGCACGCTGGCGATCCGCGAGCTGCCGGTGGTGGGGTGGGAGTGCGGGCACAAGTCGCACTTCGCGTGCGTGGGGCGGCGCCTGAGCAAGGGGCTCACGGACTGCGCCTTCTGCCTCACCGTCAAGGTGAGAGAGCCGAGGGGAAAGAAGGGGCGGTGGAGGGGGGGGAGGGGGAAGTGAGGGGAAGGAAGGGGGGAGTGGAAGGGAGGGAGCGAGTGAGGAACGGCCAGGGCATGGTGTGCGGACTTGTTCCAACAATATTTAATTTCGCAATGCGCAGTGCAGCCTCTTTTTTTGGAAAACGCTTTTGTAACTGTTGAGGCGTATCAAGTCCACATGTTCCAATCTGTATCGGAAGCCGTACTAAAACTTTCGAAAGTTTGTAATTAGTACAAATCTTGTTGCCCCTAACATGAATAACGCCCAAACTTTCAACTGCATGTGGATCATTTCTCCACAGTTCATCCTCCCTGATTCACCCTCCATTATTCAACCATGCATCTCGATGCGCGCTCTGAAGTTCGCTACAGCTTGCCCTCCATTTTGCAGGGGTTTTTTGAGAATTCTCAAAAACATCCCTCCTCGTTTTTTCCACTTATCTTGCCTATCCCGTACGGCCCCCTCTCCCTTACCCCGTTCCCTACCCATCCCGCATCCCTCCCCCCCCCCCGATTTTGAACCATCTTGTGGCTGAAACCTCTCGCGATTCCCTTCTTAGTGCCCCTTCTCGCGATTCCCTTCTTAGTGCCCCTTCTCGCGATTCCCTTCTTAGTGCGGTCACTCTCCTTCTCACCTCGCCCCTCCATCCTCCCTGCCCCACGGGATCCGAGTGTTATAATATAACCCTGTGCTGCTGGGTGTGCGTCTACCACTCCCTCCTGTGTGCATGTGCTGTTGCATGTGCTGTGCAGCCGCATGCAAGGGGCGCGGTGGACGCACTGCTTGAGGAGGTGTGGTTCTGGTGTGTGTGCGGGCACCACTGCACCATCGACGCCCTCGAGGAAGACCCCACCACCAAAAGCTTCTGCTGCCCGCTCTGCCAGGTGACAGCTCCCTCCTTTCACCAACACAACCCCCCCCTTACCCCCTCCCCCCCCACACACAACCCTGCTCTCCCTCCCTGCTCCCCCCTCTCCCCTCCCCCCTCCCCCCTCCTTCCTCCTCCCTCCCCCTTCCCCCTCGTCTCCCGTCCGCCTCAGCCGCGGTTAGATGTCACTTACGCCTCTTCTCCCTCCCCGCCACTGTCCTTGCCCCCCCTCTCATCCTGCCTGTCTCTAATTTGCTACTCCTTCAGCTGACTGTGAGCTTTCACCCCCGTGTCTCTCCTTTGTTGGCCCACCCTGCCGCTCATACCCTCACCCTCCAATGTCCGCTCACACTCTTCTCTGTCTCTCATCTTCTCGTGCGCTCTTGTCCGCTTGTCCGCTCGTCCGCTCGTCCGCTTGTCCACTTGTCCGCTTCTCTGTTTGTCCGCTGTGCGCAGTACGACCCATGGAGCACCACCAAGACCAATGGCCTTGTGTCCCACCGCAGCCTGGGCGTTGGCGTGGACGTTTCCTCCCACACCCACCACTCCTCGCACCAGCACCAGCACCAGCAGCAGCATCACCACTACCCTCCCCAGCACCCACCTCAGCCCTATCCAGTCTCCCAACAGCAGCAACAGCAGCAGCAGCAGCACTACCATTCTACCGCCCTGCCCCCTGCCTCTGCTTCTCCCTCCGCCCCTTCCTCCTCCCGCTCCCTCTACGCCAACCGTGCCTCTGGCCTCTCCGACCCAGACCTGACGTACCTCCCCAGGAGACCCCCTGCATCCACCCCTCCCTCCTCCGCCACCCCCTCACTCTCCCCCATCGCGCTCCACTCGCAGGTCTCCCCTTCCACCTCCGCCTCCTCCTCTGCTGCGCCTTCCGTCCCCCAGCTGAAGCCTGTCGAGCGAACTCTGTCCACTGATCTCACACCGTCCATGTACCTCCGTGTTGCTACCCTTGATCGCATTCCTCGGGGCTCTGCTGCTGCTGCTGCTGCCGCTGCTAATCATGGCGCTGCTTCTGGCTCTGGTGGCGGCGGTGCTGGTGGTGGCGGTGCTGCTGCTGCTGGTAGCAGGAGCAGTGTTGCTGCTGCAGCGGCTGCTGCAACAGCTGAGGCGTTTCCCCAGTTTGTGCGCACGGCAACGCTTGACAATGCAACGCTGGGCAGGGCAAAGGTTATAGAGCCAGACATGGGGTTTGGGGGAGGGGGAGGAGGCTTGGGAGGAGGCTTGGGAGGAGGGACTGTAGGCGGTATTGGCACTGGTACTAGTGGTGGTGGTGGTGGTGGCGGTGGCGGCAGTGCTGCGCTATTTGGTGCGGGGGCAGGGGGAGGGGGGTTGAGAGCAGGAGGGGGCGTGGTGGTGAGTCGAGGGGTGGTGGGGCCGCGAAGGATGCGCATGGAGCATTCTCGATCCACGGACTTTGACTTTCAGCACAGGATGGCTGGAACAGGAATAGCGGGTAGAGACAAGGGCTTCGACCTTGATGCCACTAGTGCTGCTGGTGCTGGTGGTGGTGTGAATGTGAAAGTAGGGCGGACAGGCAGTGGGGTTGCAGTGGGAGGGGGTGGAGGGGGAGGAGGAGGAGGAGGAGGAGGAGGGGGGTCATCTGCAGGAGCAGGAACAGCAGGAAGCGGGGGTAACAGCAGTGGTGGTGGTGGAGGAGGAGGAGGAGGGGGAGGGGGAGGGGGAGGAGGAGTAGGAGGAGGAGGTGGGTTATCATGTTTGTCCCGCACGTCATCCATGGAACTGCCTCCTAGCGCCACAGCCACCAGCAGCAGCAGCAGCAGCAGCAGGCGCAAGGGGCTGACATCTGCATCCCCCCTCACGCCTCTGCCGCAAGCACGCTTCCGCTCTGCTGGCTCCTCGCCTCTGGAGTTCCCTGACCTCGACATCCGCCGCATCAGCCCCCAGGGCCTGCCCCGCCCCTCCTCCCACTCCTCTCACATGTCCTCTGCAGCTGCTGCTGTGGCTGGTGGTGGTGGTGGTGGTTCAGGGTCTAGAGATTTGGATCACTTTGGGTTTGCTCCTACTGGTGGGATCGGTGGAGGGGAAGGGGTTTCAGGGGGGGGAGGAGGAGGAGTAGGAGTAGGAGGAGGGGGAGGAGGTGGTGGAGGCGGGGGTATGGGGGGCCTGGTCTTGCTGCGCAGTACCAGTGATGGGCATGAGCTGACCGGGGGTCTGGGAGGAGCAACAGCAGTAGCAGGAGCAGGCACGGGATTTTATGATGACTTATCTCAGTACTCTGCTGAAGGAGCAGGTGGGTGGTTTTGTGTGCGGTGCAGTGTGGTGTGGTGTGGTGTTACAACAAAGGATCATAGTAGTGACTGTAAGGGTAGCTTGCCATTCCCCCCTCATCCTCACGCCTGTCCCTAACCCCCCATTGCTCCCTTCCCCACTGTCTCCCTATCCCGCTGTTGCCCTCCTTTTCTCCCTTCCCCACGCATATCCCATCCCACCAGCAGCAGCAGACGGGCCAGCAGACATGTGTGCGGTGTCGCCGCTGCCCCCTCTCCCCGGCGCCCGCCCAGGTCTTGTACCCCGGCGCCGCAGGAACTTCCCAGACGACGACACGCGCGCTCAGGGCAGCGACGAGGAAAACACACCCGGTGGTAACAGTGGTGGGAGTGGCGCTGGTGGTGGCAGTGGCGGTGGTGGTGGTGGTGGGAGTGGCGGGCATGCCATGAGGAGGAGTGGGTCTGTCGGTGGCACACCGCAGGCTTTCTTTCGCCGAGGCAACTCCTCCGATGCCCTTGTGCAGATCGGGAGAAGCGGCAGCGGGGGAGGAGGGGGAGGGGGAGGGGGAGGGGGAGGGGGAGGGGTGGGTGGGGGAGTGTTGGGAGGGGGAGCAAGTGGTGGAAATGGCATGCAGCAGCAGCAGCAGCATCTGGGAGTGTACCCTGTTTCCGTTTCTAACAGTGGCAGTGGTGGTGGTGTGAGTGGTGGTGGCGGTGGCGGCGGTGGTGGGTTGAGTGCGTTATCTCGCACCAGGTCCATCGACACGGCCCTCCTTGCGTCCCAGAACCACCTGCATGTGAGAGGAGGGTCCATGGAACGGGGAGGCATGATGGGGGGGAGTATGGGCGGAGGGCGGGGAGTGGGCGGTGCTGGTGGAGGGGTGCGTGCAGGGTAGGGAGGGATGGCGAGACAGAAAGGGGTGGAGGGAGAAGACTTTTGAGGCGACTCAGAAGTCATCTTGGTGTAGGTGGAGGGGTGCGTGCAGGGTAGGGAGGGATGACGAGAGGAGACGGGTGGGAAGAGGGGAGGGGAGGGGTGGGAAGGACTTTTGGATCTGCCTTACTCAGTCCACACAAGTAACCTAACTGACAGTGACAATGCCGCAAGGGTGCCGCAGCAGCAGCAGCAGCAGCAGCAGCAGCAGCAGCAGCAGCAGCAGCAGCAGCAGCAGCAGCGGCGGCGGCGGCAGCAGCAAGCCCCACCACCAGCGGTAGTTGTCACACCTTACTATTTTGACTGTCTTCGAACTTGTGCCGAGTGTTTCAACACACCAGGTTCTTCTGATCTGATCCGAGGACTGCAGTTCTGTCGGTTCCAGCTGAGCCTTGCAGCTGTCGAATGGGTGCATGCATGCGTGACATGTGATGAGATTTACTTGATGCTTACAGCACTGTGCCGGTGCGAGTGTGGTACCGGTAGTCTTTTTGGGATCTCACAGACTGCCTGAATGACTGTAATGGTGAATTTGGATGGGTGAGATGGGGTGGGGGGGAGTGGTAGGGTGATGCCTAGTACGGATGGGTGATTACATTACATGTGGTGGCTAATGAATGACTGTTAACAGATTGGCTGGGTGGGAGAGCTTTTTGCTGGCTTGACCAATGACCATACTGATACTCTTCCATCGTATGCATTAAATTCGTTGGAAATATTCTGTGATGTGAATGCTTCATTATACCCATGCTCGTCTGACAAGAAAACACCCATCTCCCTACAAGTGCAAGGCCAGGGCAGCACCTATGGCTGCTCCAAGCAGCAGAGACGGTATCACCACAACCCTTCTAGGAAGCGCTTCCCCCGCCTCCACACCCCTTCCTCCGGCTAAGGCTACCCTAGCAGTATCTGAAATTTCTAGAATCGCAGGAGGAGCAGAATTCAAAGAGGGGGCAGAAGTATGGTAGGTCCGGTGCTGTGCCTTGGCTGCTGCGGCTGCTGCTGTTTCTGTTGTTGCTGCGTCGGTAGAAGGACGTGGCCGTGGGTTTGGCTGCAGCAACCACAATCCAGACCATCTCCACCCCCTCCCTCCTCCATCCCCCTGCACGGTTCCAACACCAGGCAAGCTACTACTGCTAGTACCCCCATTCGCACTGCCCTTGGGATTGCCGCCGGTGCCAGCAATGCCCCCAACAGCCCTGCTTTGAGTTCCCGCACCGTGACTAATGCACAGCGGCTTTTCCGGCCTCTCCAGCCTGCCACGGGTGATGCCGAGCGCGCCGAAGAGCGCGAGGGAAGCGAGCGCAGAGCAGGTGGCGGCACAGGGCACGAGCAGCAGTAGGCGAGTGTGCAGGCGGCGCAGCGCAGCGCAGCGCAGGGAGTGCGCCGCCACCGTGTGGAAGAGGCGCAGGGAGAGCCCCCGGGTGGAGGCTGCCTGACGCTGGGAGGCCGAGAGGAGAGAGAAGGCGAGGTTGATGTCGATGCGCGAAGGGGGGGAGCGCGGGAGGAAGCGGCGCAGGAAGGGGAGGAGCGGGTCGTCCTCGGGGATGTCGCCTGGCGGTGGGGAAGTGTGGGGAAAGAATTGGTTGGGAGGGGTTATGGGGAGGGGAGGAGAGGGGTGAGGGTGTTGTGGAAGTGGACGCGTGGAGGTATCGAGGGATCGAGGAATGGAGGGATGGAGGGCGGGAGGAGGGCAGGCAGAGAGGGGCGGAAGGGGAGAGGGAGGGTAAGGCTATATGAGGATGGCACTCTCTTTCTGGTGACCATGGCATGACATGTACTCCAGTTGTTCATGTAATCGTGCCTGGCATCCCCCAGCCGCTCATGTCAACAACCATCATGTGCAACACAACTCCAATTCCACTGCCTTCCCTACCCACCCACCCACCCATGCATCTCTTCCCCCTCACACCCCCCCCCACCCCCACCCCCACCCTTCTCCAACGCCCCCCCTTCCTTCCACCACCCACTCCCCTACCTCCGTTCCCTCCTCGCTCCTCTCCCCTCCTTCACCGCCTTCCCCCCATTCCCCTCATTCCCCCCCCTCCCCCCCCCCACCAGCAGCGGCGGCATCTCTGACGTGCTGGTGCAGCCACTGCACAGCGTCCACCAGCTGAAACCGCCACACCATGCCGCCGCCCCCTCCCCCGCTCCCACCCCTCGATCCGCTCCCCCGGTCCCTGCCTCCGCCTTCCCCAGAAGCACCTCCCCCCGGGGCACCTCCCCCTGTCTCCCCGGAGCTTGCCCCCGCTCGGGCCGAGGGCGAGGGGGAGCGCGCATGCGGCGGGTGCGCGTTTGGCGGCGCGTCGAGATGGTGCGGCGGGAGCGCGAAGTGGTAGTAGGTGAGCGTGGCGGCGGCGAGGAACGCGTCGGACTCGTCTAGGAGAATGGCGTCCATGCCCGGCGCGAGGTTGAACGGATCGGACGGCAGGCGGAGGCCGCGGAGGCGGGACACGATTCCGCCCATCGTGGCGGAAAAACAAATAACGAATGATAGGAATGATAGAAATGATATGATCCGAGATTTGGTTGAAGAGGAGAGGAGGCGCCGTGATAAAGGAATCCGCGACGAGGAGCCGCGATCAGGGAACGCCCGTCTTCTAGGATTGATGCCCGTGCCGGGGAGTATCTAGAAGCCTCCGACCCCCGCTGATTGCGCTGATTGCGCGATTGTGCAATTGCGCGATGCTTACTCACGGGCTTGTTTGTCCCTGGTTTACGTGTGGAAAGGGAAGGCAACACACAGCTGCGGAAGTGAGCTCATGAGAGGGTGAAACGGTATTTGATCTTCCCCATTTCGCGGCATGCGCCCTACACGCAGAAGACGTCACTCACGGCTAGTATGGCCTTCGGACATTTGACGTGCTGTCAGTGGCGTCGACCAGCTAAAAACGGAATAGAGTGAAAATACCGAACCAATAGAGATGACACAAACCTACTGGGGCGTGCTCAGCAAGGTTCCAGTTTCAAATTCATTATGCATCCAGTTCCAGGCTTGGAAATTCTGTTCTGTGCAGCCTGGTTGCCCATGAGTAGTTCTTAGCATTGCCATTTCAGTTTTTTAACTGCGACCTGGTTGCAATTGATCGGATCGGCTGGCTATCAACACGCCCTCGTGATGCTTGTGAGGCTGCAGCAGCAGCATTTCAGGATTTTTTAGCCCGAAGCTATCGACGGTGTATATTCTGGCGAGTCAGAAATTCTGATGAGGTGTAACGCTCGAAACCGTCCATGGTGCATGTCGAATTTCTTGACACTAGGGGGAAACAGGCCCTTAGTACTTGTTACCTGAATGAAATATACCCTTCGAAAGATCGATTTGGAGGATTTGTAATAGGGTAGCCAAGTAGTAACGAGTATACAGTAAAACTTGAGCTGGATGGAACACCACACATCGATTATGGCAATCGATGTGCCACATTGGTCAAGCCAATCGACGATCGATTGACCAGCACGCGTGCGCACGTCAAAAGTACCGATCGGGAGTGCCCCAGATTGTGCGACAGGCTGGGAGTTCGCAAATTCGCTTTGATTCTCGTGAAAATCAAAAGCAGGACAGCCCGAAGCGCCTTGACCATCCACCACTCGTCCGCAAAAGTCCATTTGGGTTGCCCTGTGTGTTGCGAATGTCGTGTACTGTCGTGAAAGGCTGGCTGCAAAAGCACCATCGGTTTTGGGGGATCGCGCGCCGCGAGCACGGGGGTGCGTGGCTGACGAGAGCCGATCTGGAAAATCGCATTGATATCGATGCCGCCAGCAATCGTCATTATCCATATCGCAAATCAATCTACACCGCCGATCCTTCGATTTTCATGAAGGTAACGCGTCCTTAGTACCCCAGAGCACCAAGGAGGAAAATGAGCACACGATGAGATGTCTTCTGAGGTGCCTCGTAAGTCACGTGTTTAGGCCGTCGGAACTGCCGTAGCATCCACCCACCAGAGCACGAGGACTAATTTCTCGGAACATTCTTACACCCCTGCACTTCTCTCCCACGTTAGCCGTCCCGTCGTCGTCGCACAGATATAGCGATACTGCCACCAGGCTTAGACGGTGCGTCAAATACCCGTGCCAGGCTCCGGCGATCGGGCTCCCTCGTCGATGTCATAGCCAAGGGAAGCGACGCAATGGACTCGAGATCGCCCGACGGCTCGCCGCCTGCCATGAGTAGCGAGATCCCACCGAATGCGGCAATTGCCGCCGCTCCTGCTTCGGCTGCTGCTCCTGCCGCTCCCACTGTCTTTCCTGCCGTTCCTGCTGCTCCTGCTGCTCCTGCTGCTCCTGATGCTGCAGCGACAGCATTTCCATGGCTGGTTGATCTCGCGGATGAGCTAGCGGTTGCGCGACAGTGCGACACGTGGCGTGCTTTGATAGGTCAATTGAGGAGCTTGGATGGAGGCCGCAGGGATGGGGTTGCCGAGGAGCCGGTACGAGCGGCGTCGAAAGGAATAGCAGTAGCGCCGGGAGCAGCAGCGCTGGGAGCAGCGCCAGAAGCAGCGGCGTTGGGGGCAGCAGGGCAGCGGAATCAATGCCTGCTACAGGAGGCGGTGGATTGGTGCATTGACGCTGTATCGCGATGGGACTATAGCGAGGCCAGGCGAGGGGACGCGCAGGCGGGTGGAGAGGGGGGAGTGGGAAGGGGAAGAGGCGGGGATGGGAACGAAGGGGGACAGGAGCAGGGGGAGGGGGGAGGAAAGCAAGGGCAGGAGGGGGAAGAGGGGAGGGTACGAGGAGGGGAGATTGGAGAGGGGGCTATGGAGGTAGAGGGTGGTGGGGTGGGTGACGCGGCGAGGGGAGAGATGAAGGATGGGAGCAATGATGAGGCCATGAGAGACGCGGATGATGGTGGGGATAATGCTGGTGCTGCTGGTGCTGCTGGTGCTGCTGGTGCTGCTGGTAGGGAGGCCAGTGATGCAGGCGATGGGAGAACGGATACAGTGAGACATAAAGAAAAGGGAACTGAAGCAAAGGCAGAAGCAGAAGCTGAAGCAGACGTTGTGGGCGCAGGAGGCAAGGTGGCAAGAAGCAGGGCGGAGGACTCGTACTCAGGGAGGCAAGGGGGCAAGGAGGGAGATCTGACAGCTAGGTTGCTGCGGGGAGAGTTGACAGCTGTGCTGGAGGGGGTGGTTCAAGCTGTGCTGGGGGACAGCAGGCACAGCGAGGGGAAGAGAAGGAGTGGGAGTGAGGGGGGAGAGGGCGCTGGGGGTGCCGCACGTGTGGGGGTTGGTCACGTGGTAGCGTTGCTGGAAGAATGCCTGCTGTTGGCCGGCACGCACTATAGCGCTGCTGCTGCTGCTGCTGTGGAGGGCACTCCTGCTGCTGCTGTGTCTGCTGGTGGCGATACTGGTCAAGGAAGCAGTGGGTGCACGCAGCTGTTTGAGCGGGTGGTGCACAGAGTGCTGGGTCTGGTTCTGCCCCCCTCCAGCAACGCTCGGAGAGGAGTAAAAGGCGAGGTGCGGGGAGCTGCATGCATGTGCGTCACGGGCGGTGTTGTGACTGCTGAGTGGGCTCAGAGGTCACTTGTGGTGACGGTTGGCGGTGGGGAGGAGCGGAGGAGGGGGAAAGAAGGATCAGAGGAGAAACAAGTGAAAGAGAGTGGTGAGGGAAGCAGAGTGGAGAAGAGGAGGGAGGGAGTAGAGGGGGGGGATGAGAGGAGCGAGGGGATCCAGGGGATACAGGAGGTTGGGGGGGGGGGGATGGACTGGGTACTGGTGCATGTTGGTAGCAAGGTTGAGCTTATGGATGGCGTGCTGGGAGCTGTTATCGAGGCGTGCACACATGCTTGCATGGCTCCTTGTGAGTCCCACAATGACAGCCATACGTGCTCGCATGCATGTGAATCAAGGGCAGTTGTGGAAGCCGGGGAAGCTGTGGAGGCTGTGGCAGCTGCTGCGGAGACGGATGGTGATACTGACATGGGGGGAGTTGGGCATGGTGGAAGGCGCTCCAGGGGGCAGGAGGGGCAGGTGGGAATGGAGGGTGCTGGTGTGGGTTTGTCCAGCGGCCAACAGTTTGTTCGCATCCTCACAATATTCGACTGCCTTGCAGCCAGGTGACAATCTTTCTCTTTCTCTCTCGAACGGTCCTTCATTGCTGGGAGATCGTGGGTACAGGCGAGGCATATAAGGTGGGTACAAGCATGCATGGTATTCTTGGTCTAGCTCCTAGTCCCCGGCTATTCCCTTGGGTGCTCAATGACCGCGAAGCAGTCCCCAAGGGACATGCCCGCCTCAGGAGCACCTAGGGGCGGCCCCTCAAGTGGCGAAGCCTCATTCACCTTCCCGAGGTAGGTGAGGGCTTGACCCCGCTGGAGGGTGACAGACCAGCGCTGGCGGAACTGGCTGAGCAGTTTAGCCGCCTAGTAGGAGCTGGGGTCGGCATTGAAAAGGCGGCGGGCGGCCGTGTGTGCGAGGAGTTTAAGGAAGGTTGGCACTTCGGCGCATGGGCAGCCATACGTCTCGACGGCGAGTGGGAAGAAACCGACGTATGCTGCCCGGTGGCGGTATTCGTCGATCTTCTTGTCCGCTTGCTCCCGGGCCATGTAACCGCGGCCTTTGCGCGCTAGCGGGTCCCGGGAGCTGACTGGGTCGGTGACGGTGACGTCACAGATCCAGACCGCCCCCGAGTCCCGGTCACGTATGGCCAGGTCGGCGGTCTTGCCGTCGACAGGGTTGTAGATCGCCGTTTCTTTCGTGACTATAAGCTGTGCGTCTCGCCCCATGCGCACGCACTCATCTCGGAGGGCGTTGTGGGTGTCGGTGCGACCGTGTCCCGTCCCACGACGGAGGAGGTGGTTTGGTAGGCGGGGGTCTATGATCGCGACCTGTTGGGCGCAATTGCAGACCCTGGGTGCCGGGAAAGGGAGGCCCATACGGAATGCCAGGGCGATGGCATAGTGAGGCGGCGCCAGCCGAAGAGATGGGAATAGGGGGATGGCGAGGAGCCAGTCGCCGGCGCCGTACCCAGTGAGGGAGAGGAGCCGCTGGGTGTGGCCGCTGAGGGGGTTGGGGTCCATCTCCCTTGACGCAGCCAGTTGACGGGCGTAGCGGGCTGCGTGTACCTCCAGGGCCAACCGGTGCTGGAGAGGATCATCCGAGGGCTTAGCCCGCTCGGCCTGCAGGAGCGCCAAGGCTGGAGCTGGGAGGGCCGACTCGCATTTCGCCAGCCAGGTATGGAGACGCGAGGGTCCGATGAAGGGAGGGGCCAAGGAGCAGGCCGCTGCAGCGAGTGGGCCTATCGGGTCCGTAGGAAGGGATATGAGCAGCCGGTGGGCCTGTGTGACGCTGGTGAGGAAGGCGTGCGGGCCCTCTACTGCGGGGTCCGCGAGGCCGAGGCCGCCAAGGGAGGGGGGCAGAGAGGCTTGGTGCCACATGCGCGACCGCTCCTGTTCACCCCGTGGGAGCTGAAGTTTGCACGAGAGGAGGAGGGTATGGAAGAGCTTCTGTCCCCAGTTGGACCATTCCTCGGACGGCAGCGAGTCAAGGGGGGTGGTGCGGGTGAGATAGGATACGCGTCTTGAGACGCAGCGGTGGAGGAGAAGGCCCGCAGCCTGGGGGTCCATGGTCGCCAGGTCGGGGAGCGGTCTGGCCATGTCGGCCAGCTGCTCCCGAAGGAAAGCGGCTGTGGCGTCAGTGGGGCCGAGGTGGCTTCCAAGGACGCGCAGGCCGTCAGTGCGGAAGGGGATGCCTGGGGGGAGTATGAGGCTGGGGGGCTGGGAAGCTGACCACGCCGCGCACTTGGAAGGGTTGTGCTCGAGGCCCAAGGGGCGTAGGGCCTCCGTGAGATGGGTGAATGCCGACGCGCATTCCGACGGCTCTCCAAGCAACGTGATGTCGTCGGCGTAGGCGAGGCAGAGCACGCTAGGAAACGCCGAGGCTGTCGCTTGGAGTGCCGGGTGTAAAGCCGGCGCGAAAAGCAGGGGGCCCATGGGGTCCCCTTGACGAACACCCCGGGCACTAAGGAGGGGTTCGCTGCAGAATCCCGCATCTAGGTAGAGTCGCGACGAAGCTCGATTGCTGACAGGTACAGCGATTGCCAATCGCCCGCGAGGAATTGTTGCTGTAGTTTTTCCACCGCGGCCCAATCAGGGTGCTTGGGCGAGTGCAGGCGAAGGGTTAGGCGAGGGACGAAAAGTAACAGGCGCCAACCCGCGAGGCTGGTTGGCCTGTGTGCGATGTGTAGCAGAGGTGTCAGGAGTGCTAGGGCGAAGAGCTGACGAAGTTTGGGGGGAATTCTGCGGGAAATCGAGGGTTGGCGACTGTCGCAAAGCAGGTCGATATCCCATCCCGCCACCCCGGCGAACAGGGATTCGTTGGACGACAACTCCTGTGGCGAAAACTGCCGTGGAATCTGGATATCTGGCGTACTACTGGCGCGGGAGGTACGCGTATTTCGCGCACTCCCTCTGGCAGCCTGGGCGAGAGAGTCCAATGGCTGTGTTCGCAGGTCCTTGTCCGCGAGATCTGAGCGATGGGGACGGATTCCCGCCTCGCCTGCGTGACAAAGTTCTCTCCTCCAGAGCAGCACGGGACTCTTCCGTTGATGAGTCCTGGAGCCTCTCCGGTACATAAGATGCGTCTCGTTTTTCTTCCTCGTCAGTTACCTCCCTCTGCCCTCCCTCCCTTAAAGCCCGGGTAGCAGCCTGCTGGAAGTCGTTCAGCGGGCCGCCATCCCGTGACAAGACGCCTGTCCGTCCTCGACCGCGCCCCCGACCTCTTTGGACCCGGCTTCCACTGCGTGGCACTGCCACACCGCCCGACGCTCGCTGACCATTCCGACAAGCAGGCGACGCCGTGGGGGGCGTCCGGGCCGTCGATGGAGTCACCTAGAAATGTGGTGGGAGTCGGGCGTCCCCATCGCGAACGCTCCCGCAATTTGGAGAGCACGGGGGAGAGCGTCCCCCGCCGAGGTCGGGCGAGTTCCCCACCGCCCGCGAACCACGGTTGGGAGCGCGGATTCCCTGTCTCGTCAACGAGCCGCCAGCAGACCCCAGAGCGTCTGTCGGGCAGCCGCCGCTCGTCCCCCGCACGTCACGAGCGGAAGGCCCCCGAGCGTGCTAACCAAGACCAGCCGGGGGCGGCGCAGCCTCTGCAGCAGCAGCCTCCGCTGGTCCCACCGCGTCGAGGAACACCCCAGCGGGGGGCGCAAGCGGCTCCCGCCCAGCAGCGCCGGACGCCGCAGGGGCAGCGTGGGCAGTCGGGTCCGCACCGCGGGTGGAGGGCCGGAGGGGGCAACGGGCGAGGTTCGGCTGCGGAGAGGCGGCTGGGTCGCGCTGCCGCGACCTTAGAAAACCTGTTCCGTTCGGTAGCACCGCCTCAGCCCCCGATCGTATGTCCCCCGCCGCAGATTCCGCCCGCGATAGTGCCTCCTCCGTATTCCGTACCGCTGCAAGTGCCGTTTCAACCTCTTCCGACGCCCGTGTCCGCGGCACCACAGCCGCCGCCCTGTCAGGAGCATCTTCAGCCGCCTCCGCCGTCGGCCCCCTGGTACCAGGCCCGGCAACTGCCCCAACATCACCTCGTGCCGAACACACCGGCTGCACCGACGGATGTGCCGACCATGGGGACGCTGCCAAGCTGGCAGCCTTCAGTGGTGGGGGCATCAGCGGTGGGCTGGTACGATGGCCAGCGACAGCCGATGGCTCCGCCGTCGTTCGGCGCGCGGGCTGCCGCGCCCTTTGTTCCCCCCCGTATGGCGATGGGCTCGCCGACGGGAGTCGAGGGGGGGGCAGAAGCAGCGGAGACGGGGGGGGCGGAGTCCTCTGATGAGGGCTATCCGTGTGAGGGGTCGGAGCAGCGCCGCCCAGGCGGGCTGCGGATGCCGCCGAGGGTGCAGTTGGAGCGGCTGCGAGGGCGGGAGCGCCTCGTGGAGATGGCGGTCCCAGTTGCCACGCTTCGTCGGCTCTGGTACGCGCGGCTTGCGATGGGGATCGCTGTGGGGATGCTGACGGACTCGCACTCCTTACTACGGGGCTTAGCGAGCCCGTGCAGGATGCCCCATGATCCTCTCCATCGCTGCGCGATGGCTGCAGCGGATCTCGCCGTCGTGTCGACGCGAGTGCAGCCTGCGCCCGCCCGGGGAACAGTGTTGGACCCCCAGCTCCTCGCCGTGATGCGCGCAGTGTCGGCGAGCATAGATTCGGCTGCAGCTGTAGACATCGTTGGCGGAGCCGTGTCAGCGCTCCAGCTCCTGGAGGGCTATGTGACGGCGCTGCTGGAAGAAGCGGGGGCGGACCAGCTCGCGTGACCTGCTCCCTCCTGACGTACGTGCGCGTGAGAGACGAGCTCACCAGCGCTAGAGCCTCGGTACGGTGGATTAGGCTCTCCATGTCGCTGGAGTTAGTTGCCGGGTGTGTCTGCTTGTGGTCTCTTTTGTGCCGTGGTTGATGTATCCTCGTGTTGTTGAGTCGTAAGTGGAGTATTTGCCAGTCCCTATCGCGCGGCCGCAGGCCGCGCCGCGAGCGTCGGCGGCCGAAGGCCTCCGGCGTGAGCCGCCACCAAGGGGAGGAGAAAAAGAAGAAACCAAACTAAAAACAGAGGAATGAGAGGACAGAGGGCTCTAAATACTAAGGGACATAGGCTCTCTCTCTCTCCTCTCTCTGGCGCCACCAAGGGGAGGAGAAAAAGAAGAAACCAAACTAAAAACAGAGGAATGAGAGGACAGAGGGCTCTAAATACTAAGGGACATAGGCTCTCTCTCTCTCCTCTCTCTGGCGCCACCAAGGGGAGGAGAAAAAGAAGAAACCAAACTAAAAACAGAGGAATGAGAGGACAGAGGGCTCTAAATACTAAGGGACATAGGCTCTCTCTCTCTCCTCTCTCTGCCGCCACCAAGGGGAGGAGAAAAAGAAGAAACCAAACTAAAAACTCAGGCTCTCTCTTTCTCTCTCTCTCTCTCTCTCATCTGCTAGGCTCTGCTCCACTTTACTCAGCTTTAAGTACCACAGACAGACACAAGTACCAACGCTAAATTTTAGTGCGCTTTTCCTTTCACCTTCCCCTCCTGCCCTCCCCCCACATGCATTCCATTTTTGAGGCGCCTCAAAAACCCTCCTGCCCTCCCCCACATGCATTCCATTTTTGAGGCGCCTCAAAAAACCTCCTGCCCTCCCCCACATGCATTCCATTTTTGAGGCGCCTCAAAAACCCTCCTGCCCTCCCCCACATGCATTCCATTTTTGAGGCGCCTCAAAAACCCTCCTGCCCTCCCCCACATGCATTCCATTCCTAGTACCCCTCACTCCTCTGCTTTCTCCCATCTCCCCGTCACCCTCCCCTCGCCCGCTTCCACCCACAGGAACATACCTCTCTTTTCCCGCTCCTTCTCTCGCCTCGTCTCCACCTCCTTCACCTTGCTGCTCCCGCTCCGCTCGTCCCATCCTCGCCAGTGGGCGGCATTCCTATGGCATGTAGTGGGAGCAGTGTGCCTGGCCCCCAATGTCCTCCACGCCCTCTCCTCCTCCTCTCCCACCTCCCCCTCCTCTACGTCCCCTTCTGCTTTTCTCAACAATTCTCATACCACGTACTCTCAGCCCCCAGTATCGCACCAGCCGCCAGCTGCACCCCAGTCTCCACCCACTCATGAGTCCTCGTCTCTTTCCCCCCTCCACCACCTCTTAGCCTGCCCTCCCGCCACACTGCTCCGCCTCTGGTGCTGCTGCCATCAAGACGGCAAGGAGGTGGGAGCTGCTCGCTTGAGTGGGGATTCAGGCATGGGGATGGGAGAGGACAGGAGTCTTGGCTTGGAGGGGCAGCATGGAGGCTCTTGTGGGTGCACTGACTACCTACTAGCGCCTCCCTCTGTCTGTACCGTAAGGCATCTGTCAAAGAATGATGGTCTGTGGGAAGACAATGAGAGCAGCAGGGGCAATGGCACAGCTGCCAGAAGCTGCTCCTGCTCTCTGGCTGCTTGGCTGCGCTTCTTTCTTGCTGTCAGGGCCCCGGCCGCACCCTCCCTCGCTCCCGTCCTCGTCTCCGCTCTCTTCCACCTGGCTCGAGAGTTGAAGGGGTTAGCCAAGGAAGGTGGGAGGGAGGAGGAGCATGTGGATGGGGAGAGAGCACTGGCCATTGGAGGAGCAACAGCAGCAGCAGCAGCGTGGGAGGCGGAAGTGGGGGTGCTGCTGGAGTATTACTGCGGCCAGCTCACTGCAGCTATCGTCAAGTGCTCCATTGAAGGTTCGCTTGCCTCTGAAGGCTTGTTCGCTCACATGCTGGTTCCATGCTAGGGCTTGCTGTACCCCCCGTGCCATGCCATGCTGTGCCATGCCATGCCATGCCATGCCATGCCATATCACCCCACCCATGTGATGCCACGCATTTTTGGGTCTTCTCATACATCATCTCAACCACCCCACCAGTCAGCCCTTGTTTTCCCCTGTGAGCTTCCAAGCTGTCTTGCCCTCTCCCCAACCATACTCCCTCATTGTACTCTCACCCCCCACCCCACCCCCGCACTCCTGCGTCCTTCTCAGGCATCTCGCCTTTGTCTTCCCAGCACGCCACCACCAGCACTGCCAAGCCCACCAGCACAAGCCTCTCTGTCTCTGCCTCCTGGCGGCGCTGGCTTCCCTCCCTCGCCACCCTCTCCCTCCACACTCCCCACCTCTGCGCCCTCCTGCTCTCCCGCCCCTCCTCATCTGCCCCTACTTGTGCTCCTCCTCCTGCTGCTGCTGCTGCTGCTGCTGCGGGTGCTGCTGATGACCAAATGTCGTGTCTCTGGCGGTTGCTGAAGCTGCTGCTGCTGCACGGCACGCCACCACACACCGCCTCTTTGTTGCTGGCTCAGATGACTGTTCCGCGCAAGGGGGGTAGAAGCACACCCACATGCACGGGTGCAAGCACACGCACAAGCACACGCACAGGCACACGCACAGGCACGGGTGCAAGCACGAGCAGTGTTGGATTAAGGCTGGTGCGTGAGGTGATAGAGGCACATGTGGTTCTGGCAGGCAGACAGGCAAGGCATACCAACACCGGCAGCAGCTGTAGTGCCGGTGGTAGTAGCAGGCTGGTTCTTCTAGAGGGATGGCTGGATGTGCTCTTGGCCGGGGAAGGTGACCTGCAAGGGCTGCTGCAGTTGCTGCAGCACTGGCGGCATCAGGCCGTGGAACAAGGTGGGGACAAGGGGCGTCGGGGAGAAAAGGGAGATGGGAAGGGGCAGAAGAGAGAGGAGGCTGAGGGGGGCGCGGGCTGTGAGCTGTGCTGCATGCACCCTTCTCTTTTTCCGCTCCCAGCACCATCCGCAGCAGCAACATCAGCAGCAGCTGCAGCAGCGGCGGTGGTGTCAGCAGTGTGTGGGTTGCTGTGGCAGCGGTGGGGGGATATGCAGCGAGTGGTGGCAAGGCACATGGGAAGAACCGCTGCTGCTGCTGCTGCTGCTGCTGCTGGTGCTGGTGGGGTGGTGAGGCATGGGGGGGGTGCGAGGGGTGTGCTGGGCAAGCGCAAAGCTGCAGTGGCAGGGGCGGTTGGGATGGGAGGAGTGGGAAGAATGGGAGGGATGGGAGGAAGGGGGGGAATGCATTACAAGGAACAGAACGGCATGGGTGGTAGTGGTGGTGGTAGCATGGAATTCAGTGGTGTTGATGGAGGATGGGGCGAGGTGCTAGTTGCAGTGCAGTTGATGCACGCAGTGGTGGCGGCAACAGTGCCGCCCTCTCTCAGATGGGTGTCTCACGACTCACAACGCATGCTGCAGCAGGCACAGCTGCTGCTACAGCCTCAGGAACAAGAACAAGAGCAGCAGGAGGGGAAGGGATTAAAGCAAGCAGCGGGGAGTGGAAGAAGAGGAGGAGGAGGAGGAGGAGGAGGGCGAGGTGAGGGAGAGGCATGGCTCAACCCGCGCCTTGCACTGCTGCATGATGTGGAAGTGGCACCTCGGCTACAGGTGAGCCACATGGCGCATGGCACATGGCGCATGGCACATGGCGCGATGGTGCATGGCGCACCGCACTACACTACACCCTGTGAACTGAATCCCCGACCAACTTACCGGCTGGGCTCACTCGAAAGGAGCTTCGAATAATGATTTTTGAGTCGACTCAAAAATCACCTTTTGAGTCGACTCAAAAATCACTCGAAAGGAGCTTCGAATAATGCCCTAGAATCACTGAACAGACTTGTCTGCATGCTGCTTTTGCCAATCTACTCTCTTGCTTCTGCGGCTTGCTCTTGAAGCTCTCTCCATGCTCCCTCTCCCCATCTCCCCCCCGCATTCTCCCTGTTCATCCCACAGGACCTCCTCTCCCTTCTCTTCCAACACCTCTCCTCTCAACTCCTCCTCCTCTCCTCCTCCTCCTCCTCCTCCTCCTCCTCCTCCTCCTCCTCCTCCTCCTCCTCCTCCTTCTCCTCCTCCTCTTCAACCTCCTCGGTAACTCCGTTGCCCCTACTCCCACCACAATCCCACCGCAAGAAAACTTCCAGCCAGCTCACAGTAGCAGAGGGGGATGCAGCAGGAGGCAATGGGAGCGGGGGAAAGGGAGAAGATGAGGAGAGAACGGGTGATGTGGCAGCGGCAGGGATGGCGGCGGCAGGGGCTGCAACGGCGGCAAGGGTGGTGGAGGAGGAGTGGGGGAGGAGGGAGGATGAGGTGCGGTGTGTGGCAGAGCTGGCAGCAGTGGTGGGGAGCATGGCTGGCACGTGTTGCCACCATTTCACCCAGGTGTGTGGGGTGGGATGGCGTGGGGTGGGGTGGGGTGGGGTGGGGTGGGGTGGGGTGGCATGGCATTGGGGAACCTAGCTTGCTGTTTACCATGCTATCACTCCATCACATGCACTCAAATCATGTGGTAAAAGCAGCAGTTGATACGTTTAAAGTTAAGCCGTGTGCTACTCCTGCACCCCCTGCCTGCCTGCCATGCCTTCTCCCTCCCCCTACCCTTCCCCTGTACTCCCCCCGCGCTCCCCCCTTCCCCCACAATCAGCTCGTGCATGCATGCGAGCATTTACTTCGCAACCTCTCACACCAACCCACCTGCCCTGCTCCTTTTTTATTTGACTCTAAAGTCATCCCTCCCTCTGCCCCCCCCCCCCCTCCCTCCTTCCACCCACGGAATCAGCTGGTGCAAGCGAGCATACACTTCGTGGCCTCCCAAACCCACGCACCTGCCCCACTCCCTTCCACGAACCCACTCTCTTCGCCCTCTCTGGGACTGCACTCGCAAGGGCGACCAGAAAAGGGATTTAAGGCAGCAGCTGGGGGAGAGGGAGTGGCTGGAGTGCGCATGGGCAGGGCGGCGAGGAGCCTGCTGGCCGAGAACAGAGTGCTCAGTGCGTGGGGGGGGGGAGTGGGGTATAGGAAGGGTAGGAGAGAGTTTGTAGTGCAAGATGGATTGGGTGTGTGTATATTTGCCGAAAAACACTGAGGATATGTTGACCTATACGCCTGTCGTGCAATAACAGTGGCGTAGTTGCCTCACTTGTCCCATCCGTCCGTCCCGTCCGACCTTCTACTTCTGCTACCCTTTTTATTTCTGCCACCGACCATTCTACCGACGTCTCTTCCTCTTTTTTATCAATCTCACTCCTCTCTCCTCCCCTCTCCCTCCTATCCCCCTCTTCCCCCCTCTTCCCCCCTCTTCCCCCCTCTCGCCCCTCTCAGTGTCTCTGCTATCACCAGCGCCGGCGCCAGCAGCCCATCGCCTCTTCCCTCCCCTGCTCTCCACCGCACCGCCCCCCCTCATCCCTCCCCAGCCCCCATCCCGCGCTCTCTTGTCGGGCGAGCTGCAGTGGGTGGTGCAGGGCAAACCACCACCACCACGACCACCATCCCAGCATGCCACTCCCACCACACCTGCTCCCTCTGCCTCGCACCGCACCACCTCATACCGCCCCACCGGCTCCGCTGCCGCCACTGCTGCTGTGAGGGGGGCAACACTCGGTGCAGTGCAGCCAGTTTCAGGACCAGGGGGGCAGTATGGAGGGCAGTATGGGGGCCAGCAACAGCAACAGCAACAGCAGCAACAGGAGGTGATGCTGGAGCGGGTGTGCGTGGAGCTGAGAGCAGTCATTTCTCTTGCATCTACCGCCATGGAAGACACCCACAGGAACGCCGCCACGAGAGGCAGTAGTAGTACCAGTGGTGCTGGTGGTGACGGTGGCGATAAGGGGAGCGACGCTGCCCTAGCAGCAAGTGTGGCGGAGGCGGTGGCAGTAGCAGAGGGTAGAGGCAGTGGGAGCACTGCTATCATGTGCACGGCTCTTGCTGCCGTGGCTGACTTGCCGCATGAACTGCCACTCACGTCGCAGCAGTACCTTGAGGCAAGTGAGGGGGGGAAGGGCGGGGGGGGGGGAGAGGGGGTTTAAGGTCAGACTTTTGAGTCGACTGAAAAAACACGGCTCTCGCTGCCGTGGCTGACTTGCTGCATGAGCTGCCGCTCACATCGCAGCAGTACCTTGAGGCAAGTGGGGGTTGGGATCGATCCACGGGAGTTGTACATTGGGGCAAGCGGGGGAGCAGAGGGGGGGTTACCTGTGCTGCCTTTTTTGCTTAGCCTTACTGGTGTAAAAGGCTGATTGGGCATGGATGGGTGATTGGGAATGTGGATGGGTGATTGGGTATGTCGATGGGTGATTGGGTATGTGGATGGGTGATTGGGTATGTGGATGGGTGATTGGGAATGGATGGCTGATTGGGCATGGATGGGTGGTTGGGCATGGATGGGTGGTTGGAGCAACCATGCAAAAGCCATACCATGATTCACGAAAACCCCTTCCAACTGTCTGCCTTCGCTGCTATCTCCCCGCACCCCTCCCCTTCCCAGGTGCTACCCAGGAAGGTGTCTGCAGCGCGCCACACGCACATCCTGCACTCCTTCGCCGCCAACCCCTTTCTGCTCCATGTCAGTCCCCACTTCCCCAACAAGAGGTGATTTTTGAGTCGACTCAAAAATCACCCATGTCAGTCCTCACTTCCCCAACAAATCCCTCTTCTCTTCCCCCCTCTGAGGTAACTTTTGAGTCGACTCAAAACTCATCCTCCACTCCTTCACCACCAACCCCTCTGAGATTTTTTTAGTCAACTCAAATGTCCCCAATTCCCCAACAAATCCCTCTAACCCCCTCTGAGGTGACTTCTGCGTCAACCCTATACTCATCCTGCACTTCTTCGCCTCCTCCGCCTCCTTCTCCTCCATCCCCTTCCTGGTCCGTGTCAGACCAGTCCCCACTCCTGCACCCCATGCCTTGCGCCCCCACTCCCTTCCTCGTTCCCCCCTTCCCCCTGACTCCTCCCTTTCAAATCCCCTCCTCCACACCCCTGCCTGCACTGCTTGAGGATGTACATTCCTTCCCCCCCCCCTCTGTCCACCTTTGTCATCCTCATTTCTGCCTCTGCTGCTTCCTGTTTTCTTCACCATCCACCATCCACCATCCACCATCCACCATCCACCATCCACCATCCACCATCCACCATCCACCATCCTCCATCTATCCATCCCTCCCTCTGCCTCCCCCCCTGCTCTCTTCCTCCCCCCCTCCCCTCTGTCTCTCTCACCCCCATGCTCGCCTTTCCCCTTCCCTCAGCTCCTGGCAGCAGCAGCAGAGGCGCTGCAGGCACGCCCGTCGATGGTGGCGTGGGTGCATGCGAGTGTGGGGGAGGAGGTGGTGCGGGCGCTGCTGGCAGACGCCATCAGCCACGCCACTGTGGCCGCCAATAACGCCTCGGCGCCTCTCAGCATGGCTGCACGGGTGAGCCGAGTGTTTGTTGTTCTTATGGTTATCCGTAATAGTCGAATTGATACATGCGCCTCTAGCAGATGCCATCTGCCATGCCACCCTCATCCCCCACCCTCCCCCCCCCCCCTCCCTGCCCTTTTACCCTTACTATCCGCAGGCTCGAGCCATACCACCGACACCCATTCCCTCCCGCCCATCTTCCCCTGCAACACCACGCGCCACGGCCACCAACCCCACCATTACCACCGCCATCCCGTCCCCAGCCCCCTCATCTCCGCCCTCCACCCCCGCATGGCTGCACCGCCTGCCGTCCCTCGCGTCCTTCATGCACGCGGCGGCGTGGCTGCCGTCCCCTCTCGCCCGCGCTGCCTCCCTCGCGCATCTGCTGTCCCCCCGTGACCTTGCGGATCTGCTGCTGCTGCTTTGGCACTGCATGGACTATGCCATTGCCGCTGGGCCCCTCTTTGCCTTCTCGCCCTGGAAACCTGTGGCTACTGGTGTTGCTGCTGGTGGTGGTAGTGGTGCTGCTGGTGTTGCTACTGCTGGTGCTGCTGGTGCTGGTGCTGCTGCTGCTGCTGCTGGTGTTGGTGCTGCTGGTGCGGGTGTTGGTGATGCTGCTACTGCTGGAAGTGACAGCGTTACAGCTGGGGTGTTTGGTGCTCCAGAGCTTATTCTTCACCCGCCATCACAAGCAGCCATAGGTGGAAGCGCTGCTCACGCTACTCAAGCCACTGCTGCTTCCCCATCCTCTGCTCCACCAGGCAATGCTCTCCTCAGTGCCTTGTTGCAGCACCAGCAACCTCAGGAGGTCAGTGTGGGCTCTGAGCTGTCGATAAGCCTTGGTAACTTTTGAAGGTTACATGCACACCTCCAAGCAATGCTCTGTTTTTCCATACCTTGTTGCAGCACCACCAACCTCAGAAGTTGGGTGTGCGCTCCGTTCCGCCGGTGGTCTGCGTTTGGTTTGCATTGGTCTAAATCTCGGAATCTGCAATGCCTCTGCCTTCCTTCCGCTTCTCATCGCTACAGCATCACGTCTTACTACTCATTGCGAGAAACTGAAGTGATATTCGGATTAGAAAATGAGGGGGTATACATAGATGAGGAGTAGGAGGGGGGGTTTGGTTGGGAGGTGGCCAAAATTATTGGTCATCCCAATAAGTTGGGCTGGCCAACTTATTGGGGGTCCAATAATCCTAGCCAGGATCATTGGAGGGACCATTCTCCTGGTTGGGATTATTGGGGGTCCAATAATTGGGAGCCCAACCAATTTGGGGACCCAACAAGGTTGGGATCCCAACCCCCAACTGGGGTGTATACAACGTAGTGGGGTGCTCATAAATACCTACGAGAATGAAACGGTGTAGCCTAATAGAATGAGGGAAGGGTAATCTTAACAGTCAACCCTTCACATCAGAATCCGCCTGCCCTCCCTTCTCTCTCACTCCCGCACCCCCGTTTCCCCTTTCCTTCACACCTTCCCTTGCCCTTGACTCTCTTCCCACCCATACCTCCCCTTCTGTCCACCCCATCAACAGCCAGCAGCGCTGAAGCCAGCTCCCCTGTGGATGAGTGTGCTGCTGTCCTTCCTGCTTCCCCTTGCACTTGACTCTTCTCCCACCCCTCTCCACCATTCTGTCCAACCCTATCACTGAAGCCAGCGGCCCAGTGGAGGGGTGTCTCTGGTACGCTGCATGCAGGGGAGTGCTGCTGCCCTATACTCTTCTCCCACCCCTCTCTACCATTCTGTCCAGCCCTATCATTGAAGCCAACGGCCCAGTGGAGGAGAGTGCTGCTGTCTCTGGTGCGCTGCAACATCGCCACCCTTCCTTTTGGGTCGACTTAAAAATGTTGGCTCTTCTCCCACCCATCCCCCCCAATTCTGCCCACCCCATCATCAGCCAGCGGCAGTGAAGCCAGCGCCCCAGTGGAGGGGAGTCCTGCTGGCGCTGGTGCGACGCAATATCGCCACGCTGGGGCCCTTTGCCAGACAGCTGTTGCTAGATGATAGCTGAATGGTGAGCTTTGACTGCTGCTGCAGACCAGGCCTCTGGATAGGATTAGAAGTACTCTTTCTTGTAAGGGTACTCGTTTGCTGTCACTTTTTCTGTAGGGGTATATTTTAAAGCTACTTTCTAGTATAAGGGTCCTAAATATTTGTACTTTTTCACATAAGGGTATAACTGTTAACGTAGAAACGAATGATTACTAGAGGTGGAAACCTAGAACAAATACTAGTTGGTTGTACTCACTAGAAGCATACCTCAGTCTAGCCTATAACTTCTACATAGATAATATGTATAAGTTGACACACCCCCTAGGCTAGACAAGGGGTGAAACTAAACAAGAAGCAAACAGCTCAGGGCGGCACTACTAGTCCAACCACTGAGGCAGGGGTCTGGAGACCAGTCAGCAAGAATACAACCAAAACTGAAGCAAGCCAGGGTGGCACTACTAGTCCAGCCACTGGAGGTAAGGCCACAAGGCCAGTCTGACAAGCATATATAATAGAGAGTACACAATCAGGATCCTAACAGGGGAGCAGCTATAGGAACAAGACCAAGCTGTACACAGTGCCGCTGATGATCTTTAGGCGCAAGCGCCTTAGTAAAGATATCAGCTGTGTTGGCACCTGAGGCCAAGTGAACTACGCGGGCCTGGCGGCGCTGCTGTAGCTCGCGCAGGAGGAAGTACCGCAGCTGGATATGCTTCGCTCTGCCCTCAAGCCGAGGCTCCTGACACAGGAGTATCATGGCCCTGTTGTCAGCGTACAGGACCGGGGCAGAGCTAGGCCGCTCACCTAAGTCTGTGAGCAAGAAGGTCAGCCAGCGGAGCTCCTGTGCCGCCATGGCACCAGCGTAGATCTCAGCCTCACAGCTAGACTGAGCCACAGACGACGAGCGAGTGGATCTCCAAGAGATAGCACCCGAACCAAGGCTGAAACAGTAGCCCTGCGACGACCTGAGCGTCTCAGCGTCGTCTGCCCAAGAAGCGTCTGTGTGCCCAGTAAGGACCACTGGCCTGCGTCCTCCTAGCACTAACCCCATGCCTGATGTACTAGCAAGATAACGCAAAACCCTCTTAGCGGCAGACCAGTGCTGAGGTCGGTGTCTGCCTGTAGCCACAAAGCGAGCCAGGATGCTGAGAGGGTATGCGAGATCTGGGCGAGTGCAAGTCATCAGGTACATGAGGCAACCCACCAGCTCTGCGTAGGGGCCACTGGGCTCTACTGGCTCCTCAGGAACGGGAGCAGAGAGCCCATGGTCTACGGGTAGAGGTGTGGGCTGTGCGGAGGAGAACTGAAGACCGAACCTCTGAAGGACCTGACGCACCAAGTGTGACTGGGTCAGAGTGATGGTGCGTGCTGCTCTGTCCCTAGAGATCTGCAGGCCAAGATAGCGACGCAGCTCTCCAAGGTCAGTGCAGGTGTGTCTCTTCAGCAGCTCAGCCTTCACAGAGGCCAGTGCGTCCCTGTCAGGAGTAGCGAAGACCAGGTCGTCTACGTAGACAAGGATGTAGAACGGAGTCTGGCCGGAACGCACAAACAGTGAAGGGTCAGCAGAGGACGGAAAGAACTGCAGGTCTGCTAACGTGGCACGTAGCGTGTCGTGCCACTCGCGGGGAGCCTGACGCAGGCCGTAGACCGGGCGCCTGAGAAGCCACTGGGTCCCAGGAGGGAAGGTACCAGTGAAGCCCTGTGGTCGGCGCAGGTAGACCTGCTCGTGTAGGCTGCCCTGAAGAAAGGCAGTAGAGAAGTCGAGGGAGTGAAGCTCGTAGTCACGCTGTGCTGCTACGTGTAGCAGCGCCCGAAGAGTGGTCATCTTCGGGGTCGGGGCGAAGGTCTGGAAGAAGTCAACCCCCTCGCGCTGACTGAAACCTCTGGCCACGTAGCGCGCCTTGAAGACAGGCGGCTCTCCAGGGGGGCGCTTCACCTTGAAGAGCCACCGACCATCGACTACGTTCACCCCAGGCGGGGGAACTGCGTCGACGTAAGTGCCGGTGGATCTCCAAGACGCCATCTCCTGCTCCATGGCAGCTATCCACTGAGAGGCCCAAGGTCCCGAGGTGGCCTCAGCGTAGGTGCGAGGGGTCGGGATGTCGAAGGCGTCTGGGTCACCCTCAGGGACTAACAGCATGGAGCAGAGATGGGGAGCAGCCTCGGAAAGGAAAGCCAGCTCGTACTGCCTGTCCTCTAGGACGTCACTGCCAAGGGCAGGAGCACCCCCGACGGACAGAGGACGGGCAGGGTCAGAGACCAGAGCGGTAGCGTAGTCAAGGCGGCGGGTAGAAGCGAAGTCAGCGACAGCAGCGACAAGCGCGTCAAGGCGCGAGACAGGAACAGCAGGGTCGGTAACAAGAGAGGCAAGGACCCGAGGGACAAGGGGACGAGCAGCACGGAGGTAGTCAGAGAACGGAGGAGGTGCAACAGCAAGGGACGAGGGAGGAGGGACGGGAGGAGGGGAGGACGAGACGAGTGGGAACGGAGCAACATAGGGTGGGTGGGCAGGACAGGAGAGACGGGACGAGCACGGGAGGGACGGCGAGCCCAAACGTGAGACGGAGGGGTAGGGTCAGGGGACAGCGGAGGAGACACAGGAGGGGAACGAGGAGGAAGACGGGCCGGAGACGAGTCTGGCGGCGGGAACACAGGACCGTAGACAGGGAGGTCAGGAGGCGGTGGGGGAGACACCGGCGCGCGGTCCGGGGAGGGAAGGCCGAGCAGGCGGAGAGCGGAAACCGGCGGCGACGGCTGCTGCGGCGGCGACGACGGCTGGGCCGGAACTCTCGGACCAGCAGAGGCAGAACGACCGTCGGCAGAACACTCAACAGCAGCACCCCCAGAACCAACACCCCCAGAGCGAGAACCCCCTCCAACACCAGCGGCACCCCCAGAAGCCGCAGGACGAACACCCTCCTCCACACCAGCACCCCCAGGGGCCGAGAGCAGCGGCGGCAGTGGCGGCAACGGCTGCGGCGGCGGCGACAGCGGCGACGGCTGCGTCGGCGACGACGAAAGCGGCGACGGCTGCGGCGGCGACGGCGACGGCGGCGGCAGCGGGGTCGGCGACTGCGACAGTGGGGGCGGAGGCACCGGGGAAGGGGGACGCGGCAAGGACGGACCGGGGGTACCACCAGAGTCAGCAGACTCCTCAACGGGGACAACCGACGGGAGGGGAGTGACGTGGGAGACACCAGACGGGGCAGGACGAGGCGGGAGAGGGGCAGGGGCTACCGGGGGAGAGGGAGCAAGGAAAAGGGGGGGGGCAACTGGGAGACCTCGGTGAGGGAAGCGGCGGTAGAAGGAGACGGACTCATCAAAGGTGACGTCACGAGAGTGGAGGAAGCGGTGAGACGGCGGGTGGTAGAAAAGCCAGTCAGACGAGTCCAGGGGGAAACCGAGGAAGACACAGGGGACAGTGCGGGCAGTGAGCTTGTCCGTGCCAGAGGCACGAACGTGAGCAAGGCAGCCCCAGACGTGGAACGCAGACGCGTCACCGGGGGACCCGGTCCAAAGGAGGGTCGGCGAAACCTGCGGCCGCTGGGAGCGTGGCCACAGGTTAAGCTGGTGAGCCGCGTAGCGAACAGCGAACGGCCACAGAAAATGGGGGGCATCGGCATGGATCATGGAGGTACGGGCGACCTCCATGACCAAGCCGATGCGGCGCTCAGCAACCCCATTCTGCTGTGGCGAGTCCGGCAACGTGTACGACTGGGTGATGCCCTCCGCACGACAGAACTGTCCAAGCCGACCAGAGGCGAACTCGCCGCCACGGTCGGAGTGGAGACACAACACGGGGAGACCGCGGTGGAGACGCGCAGCCACAACCCACGGGAGAAGAACGTCGGGCACGTCGGCCTTCCGCTCCAGGGGAAACACCGTGGTGTAGCGCGTGTAGTCGTCGACAAGCACAAGGAAGTAGCGCTCACCGCGCGGTCCGGGGACGGGGGCAGGGCCCCAAACGTCCAAGTGCAGGGTCTGAAGGGGGGCAGTAGCAGGACGCAGCGAGGAGGAGTGAGGAGCACGGCGGAGCCGACCCTCGACGCAAGGCGTGCACGGTGGCGCAGTCGAGGGAGGAAGGGCAGGGAGCGACGCGGGGAGACCTAAGACAAGACCGTGCTGGGACATGTGACGCAGACGCGGGAGAGCAGGGTGACCTAAGCGGTGGTGCCAGAGAAGGGAGGGGTGAGTGAGGGACCGACACGAGCAAGCTGCAGCGACCTGGGAGGACGCACCAACCGGGGGGGAAGCAGTGTGTAGGGTAAACAGACCGGACACCGGGTCCCGGGGGAACGTCGCAAGGGGGGAACCTGAGACAGCCTCAGAACAGACAGCGAACCGCTCGTGCCCGGGGAACGTGGTGGTGACGCCGAGGTCCTGGAGACAGCCGACACCAACCAGGTTCCTGGAGAACGAGGGAACATGGAGGCCAGTAAGGGAGCCCGAGGGAAG